TGTTAGACGTGGCGCTGGTCTGTGTCTGGTTGATTGTGTGACTGAGCTTTGCCAGAGAGCTCTGTTCAAGCTTCCATTCCATTTCAGACCCACACATTTCCCAGGGTCCTTCCTGCTGCTCCCAGTGACTGTGTAGCCTTGGTCAGTCTTTTAAGATCTGCATTGAAATCCCCTCGGGCCCTATTGAAACCCACCTTATAGCCCAGGGGTGAACTCACCTAGGGTTTCCGAGGTCATAGCCTCTTTACTGAACCGCACTACTTCATCTTCCTCCTGCTGATCTTGAGCCAGCTTGTGGTAACCGTTTAGTTAGCAGCCGGTGCTTAACCCAGTGCTTCTTTCCCAGGCTAACCACCCAGTGTTTTCCAGTGAATCAACTCACAAGCCAATCTTGCCCCCTCCCCCAAAATCGCTGCATCTTTACCCACTCTCAGTAATTGTCATCAACCATGGAAACCAAAGGTTATTCTTAACTATCTCCATCACCACCACCTCCCGCCTCCATGCCTAGTGGCTCCCCCAGTCAGCCACTGTGTGGTCTTCCTAAACATCTGACACATCTCCCCACTTCCCTCCATCGGATTTAATCAACATGCTCGAGTCTGGAGTGTAGCCTCTCCTACTTACAGCCCTTTCTTCTCAGGTCTTTCCACCCCCACACTCTCCCTGTCCCTTCACACACACAGCTGCAGGGAGCTTTACAAAAGGAAAATCCAGACAGCTGTCTGTGCCTTTGCCCGTGGGGTAAGCATTGAACTGTTAACCACGAGGTTAGCTGCTGCCCCGTGGGATAGAGTTGAGGCTCCACGCCCATCGAGATTTACAGCCATGAAAACCCCATAGAGGGCCACCATGAGTTGGAATGGACTCCACGGTGGTGAGTTTGGTGTGGGTTTTGGTTTGTTGCCTTTGCCCTCATATTACATCTGATCTCTGTAATGTGTCTTCTAATGACGCTACAGGACAGGGTAGAACTGCCCCATAGGGTTGCCAAGGCCGTGAAGCGTGACGCTTTACGGAAGCAGACGGCCTGTCTTTCTCCCTAAGAGTGGCTCATCGCTTGAACACTGTCATCAGGCCCAAGTCAGATTAGCCTACCCTCCCTAGCCTAATAGCTCACCCTCACAGTTTCACTTTCTGTACAGTCATGTTGACCTTCATGCCTGTTCTCCACCTCGAGTGCCCGCCCTGTATCGCTTTTGCTTGAGGAACACCGACGTATCCTTCAGCTCTCACTAAATTCTTCAGTGCTGCTAGATGTTCTTTTGACTCCGGCTTTTCCTAGGAGGGAAAGAAGTGGCATCTCCCTTGCAGTTGCTTGTGTACGATCTCCCCTACTAGATTATAAACACGCTCCTGGGGCGCAGGGACTCGGCTGTCCTCAGTGACTTTCTCCATCTCCAGGACCAGGTGCCAGGAAATGTCTTCATGAATGCCCATGGTTTGTGTTTTGATTACAGTGTGGTTGGGTGCCGTCGAGCGACCGTATGTACAACAGAACACAACACCGCCCAGTCCTGCTCCATCCTCACAATGGTTCCTATGCGTGAGCCCATTGTTGAAGCCACCGTGTCACTCTGTCTCCTTGAGGACCTTCCTCTTCTCCACTTCCCTCTAGCTTACCAAGCATGCTGTATTTCTCCGGGGACTGGCCTCTCTTGGCATCATGTCCAAGTATGTGAGCTGAAGTCTCGACACCCTTGCCTCCGAGGAGAGCACTCTGGCCTACCTTCTTCCAGGATGGATGGGTTTGCAGTAGTAGGCTTTATATCAATTTTAGTGGGATACAGGAAATCCTAATGAAAAGATTTGAGTTAGAAAGGAATGCTGCAGGTGAACAATTTCAATATGCGAGGTAGTGGTGCAAGTGCTAAGCCAGGTAGTACCCACCGCCATCTGGTTGATGACAGCTCATAGTGATCCCCTAGGGCAGAGTAGAGAGAGGTGTTCCTGTGAGTGTCTGAAACTAAATCATGACGAGTAGAAACCCTCTTCAGTCTCCCATGAAGCAACTGGTGGTTTCGAACTGCCGACCTTTCAGTTAGCAGCCCCCAACACCTAACTAAGACACCACCAGGGCTCTTGGCCATTAAACCAATCTTTATCAAGATGTGCTCGTCCACTTTGAATGTGCTGGTGGTGAAATTGCAACAAAGCCTAGTTACAATTTTGTTTTGTTTTGCTTATTTTTCTTTTTTTTTCAAAGACATATTTCCAGTGCAGTGAATTATTTAGTATGACTCTTCTAGCCATCATCATTATAAGTCCCACCCAAATGACTTTCAGGAGGAAATCACCCGCTTGAATTAGAAACTGCATAATCATCACCTCATCTTCTTTATTACTTACAGTGAGTGCACTATATGCTGTTTCACAGTCTGCAGTCAGATCCTGCCATCTTATTTACTGTTTGTCTCTCCTGAGTGAGAAGCTTTTGATGTTGTGGACTTGGATTCCTTTCTTGAAATTATATTTAGTATTTTCATTTTTGTATGGTCCCTACACAACAACAAATTTCAAAACCACTGGCCCAGGAGTGGATTTCAACACAAAGTGCCCCATGGGACAGAGTGGAATTACTCCCTAGGGTTTCTGAGGTTAAGTCTTTGTAGGAGCCAACAGCCTCATGTTTTGCCCTCAGAGCAATGGGTGGATTTGAACAGCCAGTCTTGGAGTCAGCAGCCCAACTTTTAACCTGCCGTACCAGTTAGGCATAGAGGAGGTGCCGGTGGGATAGTGGGTTACACATCGGACTGCTAAGTGCAATGTCAGCAGTTTAAAACTACCACCTGCTCCACTAGACAAAGATGAGACTTTCTACTTCCTGAAAGAGTTATAGTCTCGGAAACCCACAGGGGCAGTTCTACCCTGTCGCATAGGGTCTCTTTGAGTCAGAATTGACTTGATGGCGTGAGCTTGGTCTTTTGGTCCCTCAAGTAAGTTCCTGGTTTGAATTCTAATTCTGCCACTGAAAAGTTTGGCAAGTTGCTTAGCTTCTCTAACTCTTAGGCAATTGAATTATAAAATGGGAATAATAACATCTTATACCAGTCCCTGGAGAAGGACATCATGTTTGGTAAAGTAAAGGGTAGTGAGAAAGAAGAGGGCCTCCAATGAGATAGATTGGCAGTGGCTGCAACAATGGGCTCAAACACAGGAACAATGTGAGGATGGTGCGGGGCCAGGAGTGTTTCCTTCTGTTCCGCATAGGTCGCCGTGGGTCAGAACTGACTCCGTGGCGCCTAACAACATCTAATAGAACACTGTCACGTACTGAATTCACATATGGAATCGTTCCTTTTTTATGTTTGGTTAAGTGTTTTTAATGAACTTTTCAAAGTATTAAAATTCATGGGGATAAAGGGCTCAAGTAGAAGGCATATGTTTTGAGAATGATGATGGCAACAAGTGTGCTTGACACAATGGCTGTATGGATGGATTGTGATAAGAATTGCATGGGCCCCCAGTAAAATGATTTTTTAAAAAAGAACAATCTAATAAAAAAAAAGATTCATGGGGAGAATTAAGAAATCCGCAGTATAGGTTCTTCTGTGTTCATTCTGCGATTTAAAACCCTGAAGGAGCCCTGGTGGCATCCTGGGTTAAGCATGGAGCTGTGCTACCCATGTTCAAACCCACAGTGACACTTTGCCTCTGTCCTTCAGAATCACTGTGAGTTCCAGTGTACTTGATGACTGTGAGGTGTGTTTGTACTTTTAGGGCAGATAACCAGGTTTAATCTCATACCTCAAGTTTTCCATGTAGGACAGATGCAGCCACGGTGAATAGAAACTGCTGGAGTTGGTTGTACTAATATAATACTTCGTTTTGAAATCTCTACTGTAAACAAAGCATTAAACAATATTTTAGTAGCAGATGGATTCCCCCACCCCCTTTTAAAAAATGATTTGTAGATTAGTATTGACATTTCCGCATTAGAAATTAATTTTTAATTGCCTTAATTCTATAGATAATTGATTCTGCTTTATTTTGCATTCAGTGTCCAGTAGTCTACAATGTAAGCAGAACATTAAAATTTGAAACCTCTTTGGGAAAAACCCAGCGGGAGATGTACACAGTGATGTAGAGCTGCTTCTTCAATGCTTCCCCCCCACCACTCTCATGATCCCAGTTCTACCTGACAAGTCTGGCTAGCCCAGAGGATGTGCACCGGTACAGACAGGAACTGGAAACACAGGGAACCCAGGTCAGATGATCCCTTCAGGATCAGTGCTGAGAGTGGCAATATCGGGAGGGTGGAGGGAAGGTGGGCTAGAAAGGGGGAACCGATTACAAGGATCTCCATATAACCTCTCTGGGGGATGGACAACAGAAACGTGGGTGAAGGGAGACATTGGACAGTGTAAGATATGACAAACTAATTTATAAATTATCAAGGCTTCATGAGGTAGGGGGGAGTAGGGACAGAGGGGAAAAATGAGGAGCTGATATTAAGGGCCCAAGTAGAAAGCAAATGTTTTGAGAATGATGGCAACAAATGTACAAAGGTGCTTGACACAATGGGTGTATATATGGATTGTGATAAGAATTGTTCGAGCCCCCAATAAAATGATATAAAAAATGATGCAGAGCTGCCTGTTGGGGGAGCAGGGCAGTCAGACAGGAACTGGAGAAGTGATAACGACCTCGGTCTAGGTGGCCATCTGCTGTCACTCGGTCTCTACTTGTTTCATCAGCATCCTGAAATGCTACCAAGCTACAGTTTATCAGCACAGGAAGTGGTTCAAGTTCACAGGATTAGGATATAGTCTTGAGCATTCCCCCCCGCGCCCCCCCCCCCCCTTACACACATCTGTTTATTTTCCCTCTAAGTGATCTGTCAAATTAAGACTGTTCTGAAATCTTAAGAGCCGTTATCTTTCAGGGTAGTAACTGTTTCCCTGAGGGGGTAACTGTGTAACCCTTTTAAGATGAGGTCACCCTCCCAGAAGAGTTTGTGTTCAGCTAGGCATCAGCTAATAGAGGTGAGGTCATGCTTGCTGTAGCACTTCAGTGACTGCAAAAACCAAAGGTCTCCTCCCAGGACTATGAACTTGGTGCCTTCATGGGCGGGGGAGGGGCGGGTGTTGTAGATGGAGGCAACCAGTGAGGAGCAAGCATGCCCATGGGTACGTGTCTGATGTGATGAGTCGAAGTAGGATACTAAGGTCAACTGATACTGTTAATTATGTATCATTCAGGTACTACCATGAAGGAAATTATGTCCATTATTCTATTCTAAAAGAATTCATGTATTTTTATCGTTCAGCCAGTAACTCCTTTACTAAAACAAGGACGAATCTCATGCTTCATCCCAGAAATGACTATATTTTAAATACTTAAATTAAGATTGATCCACCTAAATGTGAACTTCTTTTTTTTCTTTTCCTTTTAAGAACTGACTGGTTGGAGTAAGTTGGTTTGTTTGAAAAATATCATAATATTTCAATGAAATCTATTGATCTGAGCCAATAAGGAAATGATTTTGGAAAGCGGATTCAAAGCTAAAGCTTCTATTACCAGTTGCAAGGAGAGAATTATTAAGTCTGAATTTCATTCAAAGAGTTACTGTACTGTTTGCAAAAGAAGTACCTGATGAGAGATCTCTAGGGTTGGATAGGTGGTGCTGGGGACCTTTGAACACTTCAGGGTCCCTGAACTCTGAACCTTGTAATCATGCTCATGTAAAGGACCAATTATGGGGCAGACTACGGGGCCAGAAAGGACACTAGCAAGAGGTCCAGGTTGCCTTTCAGTAACTACTCAGTCACTTTCGTTTCTCACTGTTTTGACCCAGATTTTCTATAGTCTGGGAAGGCAGATGATGTGTTTTCATGGGCTGTAAATGTAATATCAATAAACCATTTATTTGGTATTTGTCTGTTTCCAGACTCATTAGTCAGCCTGTAACTGTTCTCTAGTTGATGGAGTTCAGAACACCCTTTTCTCAATCTCCCACGGGTAGGTTTGGCTTGCGGGCTGCCCACTCAGAATTAGTGTATGTAAGAGCGAGCTGGAGATTTCCTTGTGCCTCATACAGACTTGGTGAATGTCTGAAAGAGAGAGGTAGATAGACGGGGCAGGTACAGGATCACTTTCATTAAAGGGGGATACCTCTGGTTTTGTCACTCCTGATCCTTCTGATACAGGGTAAGAGCCGGATTGGCAACCTCAGATTGCCATTCTACCCCATTCACACTTGGGCTCCCTTTGTTGGCATTTTTATAAGCTGATCATTGTTAGATATTTTTAGCCTTAAAAGCAGTGCAAACTGTATTAGCTTAACAAGGCCGCCGTAATAAAGTAACTGCATTTTGAGGTTTGTTTAAACAACAAAAATGTAGTCTCAGTTCTGGGTGTATTTCAAAGAACTCAGGAAAGACCTTTCTTGCCTCTGTTTCTTTGGTAGCTCCGAAGTATTTGTTTTTCAAGTTGCATCTTCATAACGCCCTTTTTCCTATATCTCCTGCTCTCTTGTAGAACACCCCTCAGCTTGGATTAAGACCCACACTGTTCTGTCAGCATAACTGACACTGTGTTCAGGGACCCTGTATCCAAACAGGGACCTGGGGTTAGAGCTGAAACGTCTCGTTTTGGAAGACTCGTTTCAGTCCATAACACAACTACGGAGGAGGCCCAGACGTGGGGTTTACTCTCTAAAATCACTGCCACTGAGTCGATTCTGACCCATTAGTGACCCCGGAGGACAGGGTAAAACTGCCCCTGTGGGTTTCCGAGGCTGTAAATCTTTATGGGAGTAGAAAGCCCTGTCTTTCTCCCGTGGAGCATCTGGTGGTCTCGTACTACTGATCTTGTGGTCAGCACCCAACTCATAGCCAAGTATGCCACCAAGGCTCCACTCTGCAAGCTCCGGGCTCAGAATGTAAGCTCTGATACAAAATGTCCATATAAATCAGTAGTGTGGAGAAGTAAACATTGGGATAACGAACATCGTGGAATGGCTTTATGATGGCTGATATTGACTTACTTTATTTTTATTCTAGTTAATACCATGGAGACCGGTGAAAACTCTGTGGATTCGAAATCTATCAAGAATTTGGAAGCGTGAGTATCCAAGTAGAATCCTAGGTCATCCAAAAGATGTGCAAATATGGATTGTGATAGAGTTGTACGAGCCCCCAATAAAATGATAAAAAAAAAAAAAAAAAGGATGTGTGTATATTTAGACAAGGGAACTTTGAAAAGTTCTTGGGAAAATTGAATTAAAAGATAGTGAAGTTTTCCCACAAACTTTCAAAAGCCTCCTTGGATAGCGACGTTTGAGAAGGGGGGAAGGCTGGGGTATTACATTTGGTCTTTATGGATCAAGTTGGGTTCCACCAGCAGCTATGTGGCCTTACACGGTGAATTTCACCTCTTGGAATCTCATCTTTGACGTTTTCATGGAAATGTGAAGTGGATAAAAGAGGTGGCTAGAAAGCCACCAGGCAGACCCGTAATCAGAAATCCAGCTAGTGAAACTGGGGTGCAGGGCTCCTAAACCTGAGGCCTCCGTGTGCCAGAATTGACTTGATGCAGTGTGTTTGGTGGTGTTTTGACTTGTGGTTTCCTCATTTGTGTCTAGGTCAAAGGTCAGGCTTAGGCTGTATTTTTGTCAGGTTTTATGAAAGCACCGCCATACCCCTGAGATGGCATTAGTCAGGGCTCCTTTCAGCAGCAGAGTTGAGTGGCCGCCCCAAATCCAAAAGACTCTTCACCCTCTAAGCAAAAGTTTCCAGAATCCTGGTGGCACTGTGAGTAAACATTGGGCTGTTGACCACAAGGTCAGCAGTTGAAAACCACCAGCTGCTCCAAGGGAGAAAGACAGGGTTTTCTGTTCCTCATTCAGAGTTAGCATCTTGGAACCCACACAGCAGTTGTGTCCTTTGAGGTCACTGTGAGTCAAAATCAACTCAATGGCAGTGACCTTGGATTTGGGTTCAAGATTTTGCTCCAACCTGGAAAGATAAAATAGTGTATATTTGTGTGTAAGCTGAGGTTTTCAGCACATTTCTTATGCAGTTTTTGGTCTAAAATTAGGTGCCTCGGCTGATAGTCGGGTTGTCTTATACTCGAGTAAATACAGTACTTCACCAAAGCTACAATAATTTTTTTTTTATGTTTAATCTATTCGAACGGGAGTGTGTTAGCATTTAGAAGAAAATAGAAACATGCAGGTTAGAAGTGTGAACTTGGAAATCCAAGAGGTGTTTTCGACCCCAGCGCGTGTCCTCACGGCTGCCCCAGCCCCAGGACATTACTTCACCATGTCTTTCCTCTTCTGCAAAACCGATGGTTGTGAAATTTCAACGAGGCAAGCCTTCAGCCTGTTCTCATAATGTTCCAGACCTAGCAGGTGTTCTTTTGAGCAGCATAGATCCTTTCTAACTCTGTCAACTATTGTTTGATTTCTAAATAGGAAGATCTTCCATGGAAGCAAGTCAATGGACTCCAGTGTCCCCTTGGACAGTTGTTACAAAATGGATTATCCCGAGATGGGTTTATGTATAATAATTAACAACAAAAACTTCCACTCAAGCACAAGTATGTATCTTAGAGTCTTCAAACCTTTTTGAATGTGTGTGTCATTTGAGATGTTAAAAAATATTATTAAAATGTTAATAGTCAAAAGAACATAACGGAGGATAACCATGAAGTAGACACAGGGCAGTATCCTACAGGTCATATGCAGGGGCTTCAAAAAGTTCCTGGAAACATTCCATTATCCTTTAATTCCATTTTTCCATGAACTTTTTTAAGCTTCTCATAAAACACAAATTCATAACTTTTGTACCTAGCTTCAAAATCCCTGTCTTCCAGAGACTATCCTCTTATCTGTATGCTACCTTCCTGTATGCACACCCTGACTTTTCTGTTAACCTGATTCGTTTTCCTCCTTGCTCCTTCTTAATGGCTTTCCAAGATCTATGCAAACCCTTTTGGTGAACGGCAATGGAGGTGGACATACCTGACCTCCTCTGGCTTCCCTGTTGCTATGAGGCAGGGGTCAGACATGCCTTCACCCTCGACCCTTCTCTGCCCTGTTCTGATACCAGCCATTGCTCCCACAGCATTCTTCTTTTACGGGTTTGATAATTCATTACAATGGCCGCACAGTACGCACAGACAAAACTCACAATTACAGGGGCCATTAGGAAAGTTAACAGATTGCTACAAGTCAGGATCAGCATATAGTAAGGACACAGTCATTGTTCACAGCAGCCAAGTCTGTCAGCAGCCACGTCTCTCTGGTCTCAGTCTTTCAGTCCCTTGGCCTCTGCCTCCACGGGCCAGAAATCCAGCCCTCCAGTCCCTGTCCCACAGCTCCATAGTCTGGCCCAGACGGTATTCTCTGTACCACAAAGATGTTTACTTGTGTTTTATTGACTATACCAAGGCATTTGACTGTGTGAATCATTAAAAAAAACACTATGGATAATCTTGAAGAGAATCCCAGAACATTGCGTTATGTGCATGTGGGACTTGCACATGTGTCAGGAGACAGTTGTGAGAACAGAACAAGGGAATACTATATAGATTAAAATCAGGAAAGGTGTGTGTGTCAGGGTTGCCTCCTCTCATCATACTTACTGAATCTATGCTGAGCCAATCATCAGGGAAGCCGTGTTAAATGAAGAAGAATATGGTAGCAGGACTGGAGGAAGGCTTGTCTCTTGTCACATGCAGGTGGAACAACCTTGTTTCCTAAAAATGAGAATTTGAAGCATTGCCTGATGAAGATAAAGGATTGCAACCTTCAGTGTGGATTATAACTCAATGTAAACCAAAAACCTCACAACTGGACCAATAGATAATAGAATGAATAGAGAAAAGATTGAAGTTGTCAAGGATTTCATCTTGCTTAAATCCACAATTGCTACCCATGGAAACAGAAGTCAGGAGATCACAGGACTCATTGCGCTGCTTAAATCTGCTGCACGAGACCTCTTTAAAGCGTTGAAAAGCAAGCGTGTAACTTTGAGGACTAAGGCTCACCAGACACAACAGTGATATTTCTCATCACTCTAGAGCAGTGGTTCTCAACCTTCCTAATGCCGTGACCGTTTAATACAGTTCCTCATGCTGTAGTGACCCCCCCCAACCATACAATTATTTTCATTTCTACTTCATAACTGTCATTTTGCTACTGTTCTGAATCGGGCGCCCCTTGCGAAAGGGTCATTTGACTCCCAAAGGGGTCGCAACCCACAGGCTGAGAACCACTGCCCTAGATGCATGTGAAAGTTGGGCATTAAATAAGGAAGACCTAAAGAGAATTGGTGCATTTGAATTATTGTGTTGGCAAAGAGTATTGAAAGTACCATGGACTGCCAGAGGACGAACAGATTTGTCTTGGAAGAAGTACAACCAGAATGTTCCTTACGAGCAAGGAGGAGAGACTTCATCTCTTGTTCTTCGGACATGCTGACAGAAGAGACAAGTCCCTGGAGAAGGGCATCATACTGCTTAAAGTAGAGGGATAGCAAAAAGGAAGGTCTTCAACGAGATGGAGTGACACAATGATTGTAACAATGGGCTCAACCCTAAGAACAACGGGAGGGTGACGAAGGAGTGGGCACAGGAGCGCTAGGAGTAGGAGCCGGCTAGATGGAGGCTAATACAACAAAAGACTCCCAAGGGCAGAAGGATGACCCTCTAGGAAAATTGAAAGGTGCCCCTAAGGGAGCAAAGGTGGTGATTGGGTTCACACACTACTAAAATCAAGTCTTACTCCCACCCTAGCCCTATCTGTTAGTATAGTAGAGCACACTCTCCAAAGTGGGGTAATAGCCACAGGTACAGAGTCCAGAATGATGATGTATCACGTAAGGGTTGGTGGCTAGAAGGGCCATATGAATTGTCTCCAGCTCAACCATGTTGCCGGTATTGTCGCATGTAAGTTTTCCAATAACGCCGAGAAACAACTTGGTTCTGAAATGTTAGAAACCTTGTGCAGAGTCACACACAGACACGTTAGCTGAGCTGGGATTCCGACATGGTCTGTCTGTCTGCACAGGCTGAGCTCTTACTGGATGTAATAGTCTACTATATTTCTGGTCTCTTCAGTTCTCCCACTGAGGAACTCTTATCCCCGTCTTAAAGATACCTTTCTTTGCCTTACTTCCTTGTACTTAGTGATCCGATTTCTGTCTCCTTCCTTTGTTACTAGATTTTTAATGCAGAAGAAGCATCCCATCGCCACTCTTCAGTCCCTCCTAAACCTGGTTTTCTCTGTTTCTGCCTCTGTTATTCTACTGCAGCTACCCTCTCCGTTCTCCCTTGCCTGCTCAACAAATCCCCTTCTCAGTCTCCAATACAACTCATAACATTTCTCTAGAGAATATACACAAGAAAATCCTTTGCAAACTCCCCTCCCCTTCATGAAAAAATGAACTATTATTTTGGTGTGTTTGATGGGGCTTCAGAAGGTTTATGGAAAAGTGGAATTTTTCCGTGACCTTTGGGAAGCCCTCTCATCTTTATCCAATAGTTTTACCTTACAGTTTTTAAAACTTAACTTTAAAACTTAATATTCATAATATTGTAGTGAACAAAACCAAGACCATGTTATCTTCTAGTCTTTTTAAAAAAAATAAATAAAACAATAACCATGACCATTTTTAACCAGGGCAAATTTTTGTCTGTAATGGCAACACGATATTCCTCTAAGTGAATAAATAGTGATTTATTTAAGAAAGCCCACCTTGATAGGCACTTCAGCTGTGACTTGTATTTTAGTCACGGAGAAGCTGCATGTACTAAGAAAGCAAACTTTGTATAAGTGTGAACCAAATTCACGGATCCAAAGGATTAGAATTTTCTTAGCATTTGACAGGGTGGACAGGCTGTGCCTGGCTCTGAGCGGTTCCTTTCATTTCAAAGCAGTTATTATTTTTTAAAATAGTTACGATTATGCTTTCTGTTCCAAGAAATGGCACCTCGGTCTGGTACGGATGTAGATGCAGCGGAGCTCAGAAAAACCTTCGGGACCTTGAAATATGAAGTCCGGAATAAAAATGATCTTTCGCGTGAAGAAATGGTGACTTTGATGCGTGGTGGTAAGAGAAGCCCAAGAATAACCTTCGCTGGCCAGCTTCATATTTTGCCTTAGCTGTAATTATGCCGATAAGGTCAAGTCAACAAATACTGCTACAAAACCATAGGAACCTTTATTACACAAAAATGTAAAAATATGATGCTATCTGTTGTTCCTCAACCTCCCCTCCTTCTGGGTTTATCCGATCTGAAAGCAGCGTTCCATACTCTCAACCTTCCTTGAACCATTCTGTCCTCTTCGAACGATACCACATCAAAGCAGCAATTTGGGGCACTGTCCATCTACTCTAGTTGTCTCCCTGTAAAATGTTGTTTGAATTTGGTTAACTAAAGGGTGTCTGAAAGGGCGAGATCAGGGCTGTAGGCTAGATGGGGGCAGTCTTCCCAACAAAATTTTAAGAGTAGCCCTTGCTACCCTGGGAGAATGAGTGGGCACATTGTCACGGTGGGAGAAAAACCCTTGGCACAACTAGGCTTTTTCTCCCCAGTTTTCTTAAAACTTCTTTATAAGTAGACCCCATGATTGCCCTATGTCCTTTAAGAAAATCTTAGGATTTTGGATTGCAAAAACCACTCACCATGACCTCTAGAGCTGACTTCACTGTCTTGACCTTAGCTGGCCCAGGAGATCTCTTTGGAAGCCCTTGTTCCGATTGGACCTTTTTCTCTGGGTCATATTGGTCCATCCGTAGTTCAGATACATTCCATAAAAGTCATCGTCATTGGCTTGGATCGTAAAATACTGTTGTAAGCATCAGTTTATTCAATATAACTGACCTTCACATTATACTCTTGACCCTCATTGCACCAAAAGCCTGTAGCAGGCAAGATGTTTCCATAAAATTGCAAGTGCTGAGCCCCGTGAAATTCCAGTCTCGGTAACTATCTATTCAGCAGTAGTTCTATAGCCTTCCCACCCTAGCCTCTGGACTTCCACCACAACTTCTTTCTTCTGCGAGGTTGAAAGTCTCTTTGTTGACTCATCCAGAAGTCTTGCTGACCTTCCTTAAAATGCTTGCTCTTTCTAAAAGCTTGTGTGCAGCAGAATTCCTATAAACTTGATAGGTACTGTCTGATCGATTCTGACTCACAATGATCCAATGTACAACAGCACAAAAACACTCCATCATTCCAGTTGTTATTATCTTCAACACTCCGTTGTTGTGGCCACTGTGTCGATCCAGTTCCCTGAAGGTCTTTCTCTTCAATGACCATCTACTTTACCCAGCAAATGTCCTCCAGGGACAGAATCTCTCCGGATAGCGTGTCCAAAGCGCTGGAGACAAGCCTCCTCAACCTTGCTTCTGCCGAGCATTCTGGGTGGTACTTCTCCCCTAGAGTTCTGCAGGCAGTCCCAGGACTTCTCAGTGGGCTTCACCAGCACCCTCATTCACATGCCTCCATTCTTCTTCAGGCTTCCTCCCCCGTCGTCCAGCTTTCCCAGGCCTGGGAAGCAATTGAAATGACCGGACTTGGGACCGATAGATGACATCTTCAAAGTGACACCTGTGCTCTGTGACACCTCACCAAGGTGCTGTGCAGCACATTTTGCCCAGGGCAGTAAACACATTGTTTGATTTTTTTAATTGCTGCTTCCGTGAGTGATGATCATGGAGCCAAGTAAAATGAGACCCTTGACAACTTCAGTCTTTTCTCGGTTTATCGTGACATTGTCCACTGGTCCAGTTGTGAGGATAAGACTTCTAGGCTTTCAGCCAAGCTCCATCTGACATCAACCATAGCCCTTTTGTGAATCTGCCTTACATATCTGGCGGCTCCCGGTTGATGTACTGCTGCATCTGTTTTGAATTAGCTTCAGAATTTTACTGGCACGTGATATATTATTGTTCAAATTTTCTGCACCTTTTTTGGTGCAGTGACTGTGTATCCTTCCCTACTGATGATTTCTGCATTTTTCAATATGTTGCCCACAGAATCCTTCAGTATTGCAGTGCAAGCCTCGCTCTCCCTCCAGGTTCTTTCCACTTGAGGTACACTGTGTGTGTTCTTCCCCTTTGGTTTCTAACTACTGGGCTTCCTTTCCATTATAAGCTCACTGTGATGTCTTACTCTGTTCTCGAGCTGCTCTTTGAACATTTCTGTTCAGGTCTCTTATTTCGTGATTTATTCCGTATGCTTTAGAAACCGTACATTCAAGAGCAAGTTTCAGAGTCTGGTCTGACGTCCATTTTAATCTTTTCTGGCTCGTCCTTTTGATAGCCTCTTGCTTTCTCCAGGGACGATGGGCGTTGTTGATGCCCTCGCGCAGCTCATCAGCTCGTCTGTTATTAGTGTCCCATGCGTCAAACCTGCGCCTCAGGTGTTCTCAACATTCTGGTGGGAGAGACTCAAGGCTGTGTTTTGGCTGTCGAGAACTTTTTTCACTTTCTTCAGCTTCAACCTGGCCTTAACACATGATCAAATGATAATCTGTTTTCCAATGAGCCCCTGACCTTGTTTAGCTGATGATACTGGGCTTCTCCATTGTCTTTTCCCACAAATATATTAAAGTCAAAGGTTACTTTTGCACCATGAAAAATTAAAAAAAAAAAAAATGGAGCTAAGGGCTGATATCACTTGTTAAGAAAATCAGTGATCATCTTCCCAAAGCCCTGAAGCTTAACAAGTTAAGTGTTAACTATTAAATGTTCTCTTCAATTTTTTTCCCCGTTGCACAAAAAAGTATCATTTTTCTGTTGCTTTTTAAAGGAACCCTAAGAAGACTGACAAGTCTATTTTTTTTTAACATCATTTTATTGGGGGCTCGTACAACTCTCATCACAATCCATCCATCCACCCATGTGTCAAGCACATTTGTACATTTGTTGCCATCATCATTCTCAAAACATTTGCTTTCTGCTTGAGCCCTTGGTATCAGCTCCTCCTTCCCCCCCCTCCCTCGTGAACCCTTGATAATTTATAAATTATTATTATTTTTAAGACAAGTCTGTTACTGAAAGAACTTGTCTGCTGCCATCCCCTAAGCAGGGAAGCATAGTTAAGCACATTCTGCTTAGAACAACCCATGCATGTGTGAACTGGGAGGCTAGTAGCAATATTTGTTGACTTGCCCACGTAATAAAGTATGAGAGTTGTTGAATTACACTGTCCCTAGTCCCGATCTTACATATCTTGCTAAGAATCTTTTGTTTAAAGAGGTTATTCATTCCAGCTCCCTAATTGCTTTGAAGAGATGTTGCTTTGCACCGCGTTAGGTTTAGAGCTTTTAGTTCAGTTTCTTTGTGTTGTTCTCCTAGAGGTGATCTTCGAGGGTTGAATAAATGGCTCTGTTTTTTTACCCCCTTTTTTGTAAATGCCTTTCAAGTTTCTGAAGAAGATCATAGCAAAAGGAGCAGTCTTGTGTGTGTGCTTCTCAGCCACGGTGATGAAGGCGTTATTTACGGAACCGATGGACCTGTGGACCTGAAGAAGCTGACACGTTTCTTCCGAGGGGACAATTGTAGAAGCCTCGCGGGAAAGCCCAAACTTTTCATTATTCAGGTACTGTGCAGCCGAGCTCATCAGCTGGGCTGCTGCCTGTCGTTGCTGCTGGGGTCTGTCAAGTGGCTTCCTGCTCACTGCGACCTCGAGAGTGGCAGGGTCCAACTCTGCTCCTCCCCGGGGATTTTCATCAGCGGAATTTTTAGCAGTTTATCACTAGGCTTTCCAAGGTGCCTCTGGGTAGACGTAACGCTTAACTGTTTGCATAACAGCCAAAGGCCATAGCCATTGCACTACCCGGTATTCCCACAGAGTGACCCGCCAGGCACTCCTGACTCGGCGGTAGAATCTCTGCGAGATTGAGTCAGTCCTTGACACTACTGACTTCTTACTCTCTTTCTTCATTTAAACCATCACTTAGAGATGCAGCATAAATTTCAACTTCTACATAACCAAAACATAATTAACACATTTTCACGCCATCTTTGCATTTCTTAGAAATAATTAATTCTTGGAGAAATATGCATGCTTACCCAACCCACCCCCTGTTTTGTTCTACCACCCAGGCCTGCAGGGGCACAGACTTGGACTGCGGCATCGAGACTGACAGTGCTATCGATGATGATGACATGGCATGTCAGAAAATACCAGTTGAGGCAGACTTCTTATATGCATACTCTACAGCGCCTGGTAAGAGCATTACAAATAATGTCTGTCGTGTGTTGATTTGAAGTTACTTGCTGTCATGGATTGCAAGGTGGAACTCTGAAGAGCTTGATTAGTATTACAGTGTACCTTAATCATACAGAAGCCTCAGCAGATCGATTCTTGCCACATGTTTGATTAGAAAATGTGCATACATGTACACCCCTACATGCTTGAATATGTGTGTGTACATGAGCATACTAGCACAGCATCACTCATGTACTTCATACCAGATAGTAAAGGGGGGCTTACAAATGTGTGTGAGAAAGTGGAATTGAAAGGTCATGCAGTTTCCCCACAAACTCTTTGAAACCCCTCGTATTATACTGTAACATAGGCTAAAGTCAAAACTCGACCCAATTTGTGGAATAGGACAGAGGTGTGCTTATTAGGAGACCTTTGGAAGACTGGAAATAAGAAAGATAATTGTGACTATATAAGAGAGTAAAGCTAGAAAGAGCAAAAGAAGTCAATTAAGAAACTATATTAGCCTCTATTTTTTTAATGGTTGTGTTGAAATGCCATCATATAAATCAATATTTATCGGCGGGGTGTCATCAAGTTTGACAATGGTAAGATACACATAACAAAATTCACCATTGCAAATTTTTTCATTTTGTGCTGAAATTTTGGGGGCAGTTTTTTGGTGGTGGTTAAGATAGACATTGGAACGTGTGACCGTTTTAAAATGTACGATTCAGCGACATTAAGGACATTCACAGTGTTGTGCCACTGTCACCACTATCTTGTTTTCTGTCACCTGTTTAAATCTTATACTCAGTACTTGAATATTTTAATAAGAGTTCAGCATTTTCAAATATGCTTAATATATTGAAAAAACTCAAACTCACTACCACTGAGGGGATTCAGACCAGCGGTTCTCAACCTGTGGGTCGCGGCACCTTTGGGGTTCAAACAACCCTTTCACAGGGGTCGCCCAATTCATAACAGTAGCAAAGGCGGGTCACCCCACACGAGGAACTGTATGAAAGGGTCACGGCCTGAGGAAGGTTGGGGACCACTGATTCAGACACATGGTGACCCTATAGTAGAACGTGCCCGTGGGCTCTCAAGACTGTAACTTGCTCCAGGAGCGAAACCCTCGGCCATAAAGGGGAAAGGGTGCATTTTCCCCATGGGGGGAGGGGGGGTCTGGTGGTTTCCCAGGGCTTCATCTGGGGGTCAGCCGCCCACGACTAAACCTGTGCTCCCAGCATCTCTCAAAGTAAACGCACTTTTCAATTTCAGGCAGTGAGCCTAGTTAGTTCATTTGAACAACAATGTAATAAATACAATATTTTCCCTTCATGGATTTTTTTTTTGCTCCAGGAACTCTATAGACAAATTGAGGGCAAATCAATTGATTCCCCCTCCCCACTTGGCTCATCCAGTGTTAAAGCAAGGTGAAATCTGATGGAAACACCGTGCTGTGCATAATGATCTTTCTTAGGTCTGTTGGCTCCTGCATGTTTTCTTGTTTGTCGCTGTTGGAAGGGGCGCCTGGAGAGTAAGAAGTCTCCCTCGTCGGATGGTAGAATTAGCCCACGGTGTGTCTTGCCTTTGCTGAGAGCACGGGCGTTGCTGAGAGCACGGGCACACACCGCCGGAAACCAAACGTGCCCTTGTGATTGTGTCATGGTCTGCAGCACCGGCTTAAAATCAGATGCCCATGGTGTTTGGCTCTCTTTTGCCTTGTAGGTTACTACTCCTGGCGAAATTCCAAAGACGGGTCCTGGTTCATCCAGTCGCTGTGTGCCGTGCTGAAGCAGTGTGCTCACAAGCTGGAGCTCATGCACATCCTCACTCGGGTGAACCGCAAGGTCGCAACTGAGTTTGAGTCCTACTCCCTTGACTCCATGTTTCATGCAAAGAAGCAAATTCCATGCATCGTGTCCATGCTCACCAAGGACCTATATTTTAGTCACTGAAGGAAGATTTAGGAGTGGGAGTGGGGTGGGGTTGTGTCCGTTTGGGGAGGGTGGGGAGGTTTGTTTTTAGTTTGTGAGGCAAGTGAAAAACAAAAACGAAAAACAGTATAACTGCAAATACTTTATTCCCTTCTTTCATTTATATCTACTCAAATACTTCCCGTGGTCCTTCGGAGCACACTATTTTCATCATCATAAAACCACCATGAAGCTACCTCAAACCAAAAGCCAGGTAGTTGGAACCGACTTTTGTTAGGAAACATTAAAAGGGATAGTGTCATCATTGTTATGAGGAGAGATGATGGTAGTTTTACAACTTTCATAATTAGCAAGTCTGATGGTACTATGTTCTGAATTTTCAAGTAAGTATGAAAACGCTGTGCTCTTCAGGAATGAATTCTAAAAATCTGCTCTCAGCAGAAGACTTGATTTTGCTGTTCTTGAGCTAGGCCCGGGGACGCAGGAGTCCGCTGGCATGACCCAAAGCTGGGAGACCTTTACTTTTTAAACCGGTTAATTGTTATCTTCCAAGCATTTCCCTGAGCTTGTGGTTTTGTGATGTTTTGTCCTGAGCATGTCTCTATGGTTTAAAAAATCATGTGGATTACTGAAAAAGAAATTAACCGTTTGGAGAGTGCGAGCCTACTGGATTGACCCTTTGCAAGCCAGCCTTTGTGGAGGGACAGAGGACAACTGAGATGCCTCAGATCTATCTACCAGCATGAGTTTCCTGTCTTTTGTCCTATGCAAATTCGTCTCATGTTCACATACCAGCAGAATACTTGAGCTATTCATGTAAACACCTCAAGCTTCATGCTTCATGGGTGAAGCCGCTCTAGAGAATATCAAAATATACAGCTTGCTTGCCTGATCAACAATAGGAAGAGAGCAATAAACCCATCACAGTCTGCTTGGTAATCAGAGCAGAGGTGGAGAGGTCCCAAGTGGACCCTTGTCAGCCTTTGGGAAGAAGGCAGACCCACAGCCTGTGGCTCCAGAGGAGGTGCTGGCCCCCCTGGTTTGCCTGTGGGGCTGTTTACTTCCAAGGCAGGAACCAAGCCAGAAGCTTCTCATGCGGGCATTTCCCAAGAGCGATTGCCACCATAAAAGTCAAAGTCCTCTTTGTGGTAAACATTTTGAGCACGTTGCTTTCTGTTGAAGTTGACAATCAAAAGGAAACTGGTACAACCTTATCTCGCCCTCTGAAAAGAAAGGACAAGGCACACGGGACTTTGGAAGTCACCCAACCCGAGACAGGAAGCTGAAGGCCCGGGAAGGGGCCCCAGGGTGGCAGCCCCCCATCCCATTCCCTCGGAGGTGGTAGCTGACATTGCACTGTCCTGTCTTCGGCTTTTACTCTGACATTTCCAGTCTACGTTCTCTTTGCTCAAAGAAAGGAACGCAAGCCTTTGTAAATGCCACCTTCATAGTGACGATGTCTGTAACTTTTTGTAGTACGTACAGCCTGTAGTGACATCTTTAAGTTATTCCTGTGTGGCCATTTTTTGTAAAAATTTGTAATTCTAAATTTTTATTTCAAAATATCAATTTAACACAATTGCCAACACGTTCAAGTTTTTTGTTGTCTCCGGCGTCAACTTTGTTGTGCTACTAAGTGGAAGTGAAATTTTTAGCCAAGAGGTAAGTTTTCTCATGTCAAAGGGGATGTAACAGAAATCTGATCTAATATTTTGAAGTGATAGCAGATTACTGAGTAAGGTAAGCTTCCCACGTCTCTCAGACCCTGTTGTTAAAATGATCTTGCTGCATAGATCTTGGTTCTTAAATAGGAATCGATTTTCCCTTGGTTTGCTTGCTTTGTGAAGGATATTACTGAAGTGTAAAACACTTCCTCTCCCCCACTATCATGTCCCCAACTCTACCATACAAATCCATCTAGACCAGAGCATGTACACTGTACAGATAAGAGCTTGCAACATAGGGAATCCAGGACAGAGAAAGCCCTCGGGACCAATAATGAGAGTAGTGATACCAGGAGGATACAATTGGTGTCAGAATAGTGGCAGGGGAGGTGGGGGGTGGGGAGGGAGCATTAAAGAACTAGAGCAGTTTTTCCTCAACCTTCCTGATGCCGAGACCCTTTAATAAGTTTGCCGAGACCCTTTAATAAGTTCCTCATGTTGTGGTGACCCCTCAACCATAAAATTATTTTCATTGCTACTTCATAACTGTGATTTTGCTACTGTTATGAATCAGGCTACCCATGTGAAAGCGTTGTTTGACCGCCCCATAGGTGTTGTGACCCACAGGTTGAGAACTAGAGGAAAGTATGTTTCATCGGTGCTATACTGCACCCTGACTGGCTCGTCTCTTCCTTGTGACTCTTGTAAGGGGATGTCTAATTGTCTGCAGATAGGATTTGGGACTCCACTTCCCTTTCCCCCCTCATTCATATTGATAGGATTTTTTTGTTTTGGGTCTTTGATGCCTGACACCTCGTGATCACACAGGCTGGTGTGCTTCTTCCATGTGGACTTTGTTGCTTCTCAGCTAGATGGCTGCTTGTTTATCTTTAAGACCCCAGATGCTACGTCTTTTGATAGCTGGGCACCATCAGCTTTCTTTACCATATTTGCTTATGCACCCGTTTCCCCAATCATCATAATAAACCCATATTACTTTTAAATCAGAAAAAAAGCAAGATGAAATCAGCCTCTATGGAACCAGGACTCGTGCAATAGTAATGGTGGCATCAAGCTGTGATTCTGTGATTTATTGGGAAAATCTAACCCATTCTAATCTCTGCTGTATGAAGAAGGCTGATACATAAGACAACCCACATTCAGATACTAACCCACAGGTGGGAGGTGCTGCCATGCTAACTTCTGGAGGATCATACACATGGAAAGCACTAGACAAGGACAGTTCTACTCTGATACACATGGGGTCACCAGGAATCAACTCAAGGGCAATGAGGCATATATTACAAAGACCAACAGAACCAAATGTCCCTTAAATTTGAGTAAAGAGTTTAATCTTTATCATAATCCATAAAAATTTAAACTATAACTTGTCACATCACTTTGGCAAAAATTTAAAGCATCTGATAACCTCTTGGGGCAAATCCGTGAGGAAATGAGCGTGCTCAGACACTGGTAGCAGTGCCCATATGGTATAAACTCCTAGGGAGAGGTATATGGCAGTACCTGTAAGATTAGTTAGTACTCCTGGAGGTAATAGTTCATTTCTTCATCTCTAGCCTACCCCCTGACCTGCACATGTGCAAAATAATAATACACAATTATTCAATGATTTAAAAAACGGCAGCAACACAACAGCAAAGAAGACAGGATTGGACGCTCAGCATGCTGAGTGAGGATCCAGTTCAAGTGTTAGGGTGACTTAATGGACAAAAACTAAATGTATACTATACCACTGTAGTCAAACCACTGCCCCAAACCAAGCCCACTGGTGACCAGTGGGGCAGTTCCTGCACAGTGACTCTAGGGTTTCTGAGCCTGTAAGTCAGCGGTTCTCAATCTGTGTATCATGACCCCTTTGGGGGTCAAACAACCCTTCACAGGGGTCGCCCAATTCAGAACAGTAGTAAAATTACAGTTATAAAGTAGCAATGAAAATGTTGTGGTTGGGGGTCCCTACAACACGAGCTGTATGAAAGGATGTGGCGGGATCAAGAGAGCCACTGCTGTAAGTCTTTATAGGAGCGGGCAGCAGCATCTTTCTCCTACAGAGTGGCTAGTGAGTGAACTATAGTGACCCTGTGGTTAGCCAACACTATAAATAGTATGCTTTATTTTGTGTTTAAAAAGGGGAAGATGAGGATATGTGTTTTTATAAAGAACGTACACTAAGAGAGCTAACCTTTGCCCTCAATTCCTGGAACATGATCCTTAAGTTTTGGAAACATCTGATTGTCTTAGGACCCCGATCACATTTCCCACCCTGGTCTCACTGCTCGCAAGGCTGAGAGAGACACGAGGCTTGGCTTTGGTTGATAAAACAAGGAACAAGACAGAAGGAGAATCCTCAAGCCTGTGGGAAAGGAATTGTACGTCAGGAAGTAAATTGAGGGGGGTTAGGAGTAGCATGTCACAGGAACGGTCATAAATGCATTAGGGCGAGGCTAGGATTTTGACAGAACAGAGCTCAGCAGACCCTCGCTTCAAGTGTCTCCTGAGTTGATCTGGTGAGATCTTTCTGGAGACTTTCTGTTTCTTGACCAAAGTGCTTTTGTTCAGAGGTGACAGGAGGTTTAGCTCCCCTTCCTGTGCATGTTTGGCAGACCTGGGCTGAGCATAACCAATATTCACTTGCTGTGATGGGAGACTATACGGGGAGGAAAGGGCTCAAAAGAGACAGGTTTTCAGGAAGGAAAGTATATATCAGGGAGACATACATACAACATCCTGGGGCATTTCATATCCCAAAGGTAGGCTCCTTGGACAAGCTGTAGAATGCACAACTTTGCACAGGGCTAATTAAGCAGGTTGGGGAGTGGTCTCATTCCCCAACTAAGTGTGGTTTATGGTAGGGGTTTTGGGTCATGTGATAGAGTCTTGACCTGCCTAGGGGTTGGGGACTGACTTTAGCCACACGGGCAGCAAACCAGCTGTACATAACAACCCCAACACCAACTGGTCCCCTAGGCCCAGGGGAACTTCCTGATTGGCAGTGCTCTGTGCATGTTGTCGCACACCGTTATCAGCAGAGTAACTGAGAACACTCGGGACTGGCCTGGCCTCTGCTCCATGTGTCTCTTCCCTCGACAGACTTTCACCTCTGTCAAATCTGTAATAAACCAAACGGTCAGAACCCACCAGAAGCAGTGCGCTCTCTGAGTTTTTCTAGTGAATCACCGAAGCCGAAGGTAGTCTGGGACTGCAGAACTTGCCATTCAGAATGAGAAGGATCGTGAAGGCGGATCCCATCCGACCATCAATCACCCTACTAGCAACGAGTGGGGACAGGGTGGGGACGGGATGACGTGAGACTTCAGTGTGTTCCTCTCTGTATCATGTGTGTTTCTTTAGAGCTGTGTAAAGTGGTGTTTAAGATAGGATTAAAGGG